CAAAAGGTGCACATGTGGCTTGATGTACCATCGTTGTAATTACATATAAAACTTCGTCTATACTCTAATAAAAAGTTTCCCAGACCAAAGAGGTCACTTAATACCAAAAAAAAAAAAAAGTAGGTATACATAATATATATATCAAAGATATACTATATATATATCGTATATATACCAAAGATATGTATATAGTATATGTCATATATGTACTAAAGATATATATATATAATATATACTATAGGAAAGAGTTTGATATTTTTTCTAGAATTCCATTTTTTATCTAAACATCTTAGACGAAAATAAAACAAGTATAGAAAAACAAGTTAAAACAAAATCTAACCTTTTTCTTCTATAACATTATCCGTCCAAGTTAACAAATTTTTACCTAGACAAAACCTGGACAGATTTTTTTCTTGGATGCAATTAGATCTATTTTAAACACATTCTAGGGTAGTGAACATGAACGATTACATTTTGATACCATAACTGAGTATATAAGCTATTACTCTTCAAAGCAACCAAGTGTGATGACGTGAATATAAAATTATCGTTATATTTTTTATAGATCGTGAGGTATCTAAGTGTGACAATGTGAACACAAATTCATCATCATATTTTTTATAGATTATGGGTACCTAAGTGTGATGACGAACTCGTGAACCAATTGTCACTCAAATAATGACGCAAGCGTGAATCGTTTGTCACTCGAATGATAGAGCGAATACTAATATATCTCTGACAATGCAAGCGCGAATTGTTCGTCACTCGAATGACGGAGCAAATACTAATATATTTTTGATAATGCAAGCGCGAATCGTTTGTCATTCAAATGATGATGTGAACACTAATATATCTCTGACGATGCAATCACGAATCATTCGTTATTCGAGTGATGACGCAAACATGAATCAATTATCATTCCTATAAGTAGGTAACAACCTAATGTAAATAGGTAACACTATATATATATTGTTACCTACTCGTATCTTACTTGAGCTAGAAGAATATAGAAAACGTAGATATCTCTTTGACTTTGCCACATATGAACAATTTGAAGATAATGTGCTGCAATTTTGGGAATTTGCTTCACCTTCAACTAAAGAATTAGGTCTATTGGCCATATACTTATTTGGAATATATATTAATGCAGCATCTGTAGAATGACTATGGAGTTCAATAAGATTTTTTCATACTAACTATCATTGCCGTCTCCATGTAAGATTTTTTCTTTGTTCTTAGTTTTAAAATTAACTGGCTTTTTTTTTTTAAAAAAAAAAAAATAGAATGATAAAGTACTAGCTATGAGTCAAATTCGTGCTTCAATTAACTTTTCTCGAGTAAAAAACAAATTAATACTTGTGATACTATGTTTAACCAATCCAGCACATTATCTATCGGTAAAACTACAAATAAACCTACAGATAGACAAATTGAATTAAATATAGATATGGATGAAGACACTGATAATGAATCATCAGACATAACAAATGCTAAAGATTGGGAAAGTTAATTACGTAACTGGGAGGAAATGCTAATGGATGAAGAGGTTGCTAGACTAGAGGAAGAAGAAGAAGAGCGAGACAATTATAATAGTTATATGGAAGGTGATTTGTTGAGTAATTACAGACATCCAGCAGTAGATGATAAAGCTAAATAGGAATTATGTAATATTTTCAGTACACAATTTCAAAAACCAGGTTATATAAATAATGATAAGTAAGTTTTTTT